TTTCCACGCGGACGAAGTCGCGAGAACAGCTAGTTGTTAATATAATCGACTCTTTAGTTTCTTAGTTGTAAATTAGTAACGAATAAAATTCAAGTCATCAATTATTTTAACAGCGTCGACTCTTTAGATTTTTAGTTGTAAGTTCGTAACGAACAACTCTTTAGCAAACATTTGTATGATTGTTCGTATCGGTCTTATGTAAGTATTTATATCAGTTATTTAATAACACAAAATGTACTACCGTAAGTTGATTCATTTATCTGGCAGATTAGGATATTTCTGGCAGTACCTTACGCAATTCCCATAAAACATATTACCTACTAACTTTAGTTAAACGGCATTTAGGTAATTGCTAAAAACTCTTATTTAATACAAAATGTATTGTAAAACCTTACGAATAAAACGAATCAGTAACTTTAGTTAAACGGCATTCAGGTAATTGCTAACTTTTTTGAAACTCTTATTTAATACAAAATGTATTGTAAAAATTACGCAATTCCCATAAAACGAATCAGTAACTTTAGTTAACGGCATTCAGGTAATTGCTAACTTTTTTGAAACTCTTATTTAATACAAAATGTATTGTAAAAATTACGCAATTCCCATAAAACGAATCAGAACTTTAGTTAAACGGCATTTTTGCTAACTTTTTTGACATTTAATACAAAATGTATATTACTTCCCATAAAACGAATCAGTTTTTTAACGGCATTCAGGTAATTGCTAACTTTTTTTGAACTCTTAATACATAATGTATATGTATAATTTAATAATCATATTTCTAGTACGGTTCGTTTTTAAAACTAACATAATTACTGAAACTAGACGTACCAACAATACCGACTTTACCATAAGGGCACACTGGGCCCCTGCCCGGGGCCCCCAAAGGACTGACAATTTTTCTCACACATTTATTCTCAAAAGTTTTTTTTCACCTTTTCTTATACCTAATGAGCTTTTTTTTTACTTTTTGCTTTACAAAAGGGCCCCGAAATCTTGTGTCCCCATGGGCCCCAGCCTAGTTTAAGACGGCGGTGCGTACCAAATATGGATAGAAGTCCCTAAATTAATAAAGAAATGAAAAAACAACTACCATTCTTATATACATACTAGCTGTTCCCGCGACTTCGTCCACGTGGAATTTAACTTTATTTTTCTAAAATAAAAGTAGCCCAAGTTACTCCTTATTACATCGGCTACCTACCAAAAAATGTCCCATCAAAATCGGTCCAGCCATTTCAGAGATTAACGGGAACAAACATACAGACAGACAAAAATTGTAAAAAATGCTATTTTGGTGTATGTACCGTATTCATATTCATATGCATGTAGTAAATAACGTTTATTTCAATATTACAAACAGACACTCCAATTTTATTTACATGTATAGATATATGAATGGTAAGAATTATCAGGTAGGCCGTAAGCTTACTGTCTATTAAAATGATTGGCTCACACTACTATAATTGTATTTCACATTGTTGATTTCGTACTAGATTTTTTTTATCATCGTAACCAATGTGATATTTTCTCATAAATACCTTATTGTTCATTGTGACTGCTACGAGCTTTGTTAGAGGTACGACCCAATGTCTTTGGATCACACATGAGTGACCCAGAGTGGGTCGTATCTGAGGCGGGTCCATAGGTACGTCTGCTTTTATTACTCACTAGCTGCACCCGCGACTTCCTCCGCGTGGAAATTAACTATTTTTCTAAAATAAAAGTAGCCTAAGTTACTCCTTATTACATCAACCTACCAATAGAAGTCCCGTCAAAATCGGCCCAGCAGTTTCAGAGATTAGCCGGAACAAACAGATAGACAGACAAAAATTGAAAAAAATGTTATTTTGGTGTATGTATCGTATTTATATTCATATGCATGTAGTAAAAAACGGTTATTTCAATATTACAAATAGACACTTCAATTTTATTTATATGTATAGTTTTTGTGTAAATTTTGAATGTCCTTTTTTTATAGTTTTAGAATTGTCACATATATCTTTGCGTTGTTACCTACTATACATTTACTTGCGTACGTATTTACCGTTTTATATCCGTTGTTTCATTAATCTCACACATTCAGGTCATCCATTCTATCACCCACATTTTCGATCGCACAAACATATTATAAATCTACCTTATACTAGCTAAGGCAATAAAATAATATTGCGACTATAAATTGAGATGTAAGCTATCCTATCTATCTATCAAGTTGGATCAAATTGTGCACAATGTGCAAATCAAATTTGAAATCGGTTCAGTTTCGGAGACAATCGCAGGCAAACAACGTGACACGTAATTTTTATATATAAAGATATTGGTGTAGCTTTTAAAATTGCAATAAAGAAAATTTGCAATCGGTTCTGTAGTTTCGGATGCAATCGCGGACAAACAACGTGACACATAATTTTTATATATAAATATATTTATATTAATGTAGTTTTTAAAATTGCAATAAAGAAAGTTTTTTATGTTTAAATGTTTGAAACGTTTGAAAAATGAAAGTCAATTTTTGCAATACATACATTCTCCAATTTTGAATTATAAATTTTGTAATGTCACTGCCAAAAGATTTCCTCGAATGAACTTTTATTTAAAAATTCATATACTAAAGTGCCTTAATTTAGAGATAATATAACATTTTTGCAATACATTAATTTATCTATAAATATATATAAAATTGATTTTTATAATTTTGTAATAACTGTTTTTTTAGATTGAATCCAAAAGGTAGTTTATGTAAAAATTCATATTTGTCTGTCTGTCGCCGCCTAATCTCTGAAGTGGCTGGACCGATTTTAACGGGACTTTTTTGGCAGGTCGCTGATGTAATAAGGAATTAGGCTACTTTATCTATACAAAAATAAATTAATTTCCACGCAGAGGAAGTCTGTTTGTAATATTGTTAATATAATCGACTCTTTAATTTCTTAGTTGTAAATTAGTAACGAATAAAATTCAAGTCATCAATTATTTTAACAGCGTCGACTCTTTAGATTTTTAGTTGTAAGTTAGTAAGGAACGACTCTTTAGTTTTTTAGTTGTAAGTTAGTAACAAATGACTCTTTAGTTTTTTTTAGTTTAACGAACAACTCTTTAGTTTTTTAGTTGTAAGTTAGTAACAAATGACTCTTTAGTTTTTTTTAGTTTAACGAACGACTCTTTAGTTTTTTAGCTGTAAGTTAGTAAGGAACGACTCCTTAGTTTTTTCAGGTTAACGAACGACTCTTTAGTTTTTTTAGTTTAACGAACGACTCTTTAGTTTTTTTAGTTTAACGAACGACTCCTTAGTTTTTTTAGTTTAACGAACGACTCCTTAGTTTTTTTAGGTTAACGAACGACTCTTTAGTTTTTTTAGTTTAACGAACGACTCTTTAGTTTTTTTAGTTTAACGAACGACTCTTTAGTTTTTTAGCTGTAAGTTAGTAAGGAACGACTCCTTAGTTTTTTTAGTTTAACGAACGACTCTTTAGTTTTTTAGCTGTAAGTTAGTAAGGAACGACTCCTTAGTTTTTTTAGTTTAACGAACGACTCTTTAGTTTTTTAGCTGTAAGTTAGTAAGGAACGACTCCTTAGTTTTTTAGTTGTAAGTTAGTAACGAATAAAATAAATCTACTCTAATAAGTTTTTTTTATTCCTCCCACGACCAATTCGTTGTTTATTTATGAGGTACATAAAAATGAAATTTATCGCTTGTCGAAATTTAGTACTGTTATTAACTAGATGCGCCCGCGGTTTCATCCGCATGAAATTTATAGCCTCTCTAGTTGAGATCAGCCTGTCAAATTCAATATTATAAACGTGGAAGGCACGTTTGCATCCTCTGAGGATAACCGAATGGGAATTAAGTTAAGTCAGTCCATTGAGAATCACAATGCATTCCAGGGTAGACCACGTGGAATCCGACCTATCATGGTGCATAGAAGTGAACCACTTGTTTCTATTATTAACAACACACATTCAAATTATAGAAATCACAAAAAATTATATCTCTTATATATAAAATTCTCGTGTCACAGTTTTCGTTCCCATACTCCTCCGAAACAGCTTGACCGATTCTCATGAAATTTTGTGAGCGTATTGAGTAGGTCTGAGAATCGGCCAACATCTATTTTTCATCCCCTAAATGTTAGGGGTAGTCCACCCCTAATTTTTTTTTATTTTAAGGCAAAACAACGTTTGCCGGGACAGCTAGTAATATATAAAATTTGATCATTATTATATAAGATCTGCTCTAAGTAAATACCAATATTTTGTAAGTAAACATTCATTTCATTTAAGAAATCATAATCATCATTACATAGTATAAAACAAAGTCGCGGTCGCTGTCTGTCCGTCCCTATATATGCTTATATATTTAGAATTACGCAACGGATTTTGATGCGGTTTTTTTAATAGATAGAGTAATTCTAGAGGAAGGTTTATGTATATAATACATGTACATCCGTGCGCAGCCGGGGCGAGTAGCTCGTACTTGTATAAAAAAATTGTGTCTGTATTTGTGACTTTTATGAATACCAATATTAATAATACCCAATGTAATATTAATTAGAAATTCTAGCCATAATACCCAATCATAAAAATATAATAAATAAAAATTTGGTTTCAGTGTTTGCTATAAAAATACTATGAAGGCACTACTCATGAATATCCAAACACATACGCATACACTTTGCAAGTAAATAATAAGCTTGGATTAATACCTTATTTAATTGTCTTTTTATAAATTGTAATTCTAACCATTGTGAATTGTAAGAGGGAACTGGTACCTAAAATACAAGTTTCTGCTTAGTTTAGGTACCAGGGAACAATTTAAATTGTAAATATTGGATGCAAAATAAAAATTATTATTATTATTATTAATATCAGGTCATTATCTTATGTATATTTGTCAGGTCTGAAAATAGTGGTAGCCAAGGGTAGTCTTTGTCAGAAAAATGTTGGTCTGGTCCTCCAGTAAAACTTCATTTTATGCATAAATTATTATAATACGAAGACACAAATTATTACAATAAATAAAAGAGCATTATCATTCCCAAATCTGTTCAAAAACATAATAAGCGTCATATGAAATCATATAAATATTTTCTGACATTGAACCCAACTGTTTGAGCCACAGCCGATATGAAATCATAACCAACTATACATTTGTACTTTGAAACATCCAAGTCCATCTCTTTACTGCCCGCAATCAGTTTTAGTTCTACCAACGTCGCAATCTGAGCTAGCAAGTTGCTCGTCAGACCGATCTTGTCCTGTAATATTGCATAGAATATAGCTAGCAAACGATCCAGTGTAAACACTTTAGGTCCGAGTTGTGTATTCAGTTTTTCACTTATTTTGGCTTTTGCTTTAACCTGCTGTAAACGCTTCCTTTGCTTGCCATGGTTCTTCATGAACAACCTCTTATCCTCCTTGGGGGGGTTGTAGCTAGCCAGATAAGCTGCTATTAGCAAGAACTTAGCATAATATGGCAACTCAAAACTCTGCGCAAACGTTTTTGTTGATGTGAGCTCATCTTTCAGAGTATGCTCAAAGTTATAGCTTTCTTGACATTCATAGTCAGTATTCTCTTTACCTGGAGAAGATTTTGTGACCTTTGACGAACTTATACGTAAATATAACAACTCTAAACTAGTTTTCAGTATGGGTGATATGTGTCTCCATAATTTAGATAAATCTTGAGCTTGTATTTCATGTTTAATTATAGGCTCGCAGTATTTCATGAAATCTACACGCGCCATATGCTGTAATTCAATTAAATCTCGACACGGTCTATAGAACACGCTGAGAAATGCATTCAGAAAGTTTGCGAATAACTCTGGTTTTTCAAGTTCTTCTTTTGTCGCTCCGTCTACATCATGATTGTTGAGTACATGGCGAATTAATGATTTTTGATGTAAAAATATTATTTTAAATAGCTCCTCTTTGTTGTAATTGGGAAAGTAAATCTTTATAGGCTCCCGGGCACCCATTCTGAAGTAAAAGTTATCGTAAACGAGATGCGTGACAAAAATTGTACATATATTCAAGTTACATAACTCCCGAAGTCTTAGAAATGCGCACATCACGTTCTGATCCATAGTTCGGAGTCTCTCAGCTCTATCAAACACTAACACAATAGGTTTATACCGGGTAGCACTATTTCCTAGTCGATTTAATGCATTAGTGAAATCTAGCATAGTGTCACATTTTACATCTAAATCGCATTCTAGTTCAGATATGATGGTTTCGTACATCAGTTTTTGTGAATAGCATTCAATACAATCAACAACAACATGTTTGTACCCCAAATATTTTATAACAGACTCTACACACAAACTTTTACCCGTTGCCATACTGCCACTTATAAACAAAGAATACGGTAACGGTTCGTCGTCATCACCGAGTAAATTGAATAAATCATGTAACTGGTTTTCTCTACAAGGCACTTTGGTGTATAATTCTTCCATATTGTATATTAAAATAAATTATATTATTAATAAGAAAGTTGTTCAAAAATATCTGAGAGCGAGATTGCCGGCTTTGTTACTGTCAGTCAAATTTCATGCATTAGATTGATATTGTTTTCAGTTTTGCGACTGACAGCTTACCGAACTGACTAAGTTTTAAATGCGGTCTTGTTACGCCGAATATCAGAACGAATCATGTCGAAAAAGTCTATTTTCACTACAGCTAAAACACTACAGAAAACCAATTTAATTAAAAATTTTACGTTTCAGAATTTTGCAGTGGAGCTGCAGCTGGAGAGCCAAGCTGAAATAGACATTGATCAATTCAAAGACGCCTTGAACAGGGCAGGCGGAGCAAATTATGGTACAGGAATCAGGGATTTATGAATTACACAATAAAATAAACTTAATATAAAAATGTATCTTCTACAAACAAATATCTTTTTAATAAATTTCATTCAAGAAAATTATTTTCGCAACATTGTAGTTAGATATTTTTTATAAAATTTTGGCCATTATCGGGCCTCAAAATTTATTTTTACAATAAACTTATTTTAACATAATTTTAAATTAGTCATTTCACAACAAATTTAGTCTTATTTTTGTCATATTAAAAATTATTTATTTTTTTAAAATTCGATATCGGGGAATATTTTTTTTATATTGTAATTGTTCTAAGAGTACTCATTATATGTATATTTATTTAGCAGCATATTGTGCAATTACTTTGGTATCGTAATTTAAGATTTTTGCCAAAAATTTTAGCAAATGTTGCCATGTAGAAGGCGCGGATAAGTGCATTTATTTTTTGTCAACATGTATTTTATGACCATGTCGAAATTTTACAATGTATACAAATATTTGGATTTTATGGGCTTTTATACATTGAATAGTGTTATTACTCAGCATTATTATTGGTAAAACAACTGAAATACAATTAACCAACATATTTATAGTGTTTTTATTTCTACCTGCTTTATATAAATAAAATTAATACATTAAATTATTATACGTAAATATTCTAGTATTCTATCCACTGAATTCAATGCAATGAACTAGCTACTGTCGATATCTTTTTATATTATAATGTTCCCCTGTCAGTACGACGGTTGCTGATACAATATTATTACTTGTACCTACACCTATTTTTAAAAGCGACATTTCGATATAAGTTTGGCGAATTCTAAATGCATTATGTAAATATTACAAAAGTTTTGGTTGCCTTAGTAATGTTCATATAAATATGAATAAATCTGTTGTGACGTTTCGTGTAAGCGTTCGGGGACAATTATTTATTTATTCATTTGAGTAAGACTCAAATTAATAGACGGTCTGTGGTTTAGGAGTTAAACATACCGCATAACTTTTAATTGTAAGGGGTTCAAATCTGGCACGATATAAAGTCTCAAGTATGATTGCATTGATTTGTATGTTTTATTATGTATGGATGTATATTTTAAAAACTTTACCAGTTATTTAGTAACAGCTCTACTTAGTTTAGGTGTAGATGGCGCTGTGTGAACTGTCTTGGGTCTTGGTAAGTATAGAACTGTATAAACGACTTGAATATTATATAATTAAGGGTAAATAACAATATACACAACATAATCAAATATATGGAATTTATGTGTTTCTAAACTATAAAACGCTGCTTACTTTTATGGTTGACTGGTAGAGAATGCCCTTAGGTGTTAAGTTCGCCATATATAGTATTTGTGCATTAAATTTTAAGTAAATAAAAAATTTAACAATCTTTTCAAATACATCAAAATAATTAAAAAAATAAAACAAAGCTTATCTAAATATAAATTTTATTCAGCAAAAACCTGTTAACGCAAAAATACATTTATTACAAAACGTACGTGTACTTATTGTGTAATTATTAATGAACATGAAATAACATGGCTTATTGATTTGGCTCTATCGAACACACTTTTAACTTATATCTAAATTATTTTGATTTATATCCTACATTCATACATATTTTTACTGTGCAAGCATATATTATATATTCTGTTCTATTAAAAAAATATCTAAAAAACAAAGTAATATAAAAAATATAAAAAAAAATTAGTATACCGAAATATTATTAATATTAGTATGTTTAATGTAAAAAAAGAAAAACACTAGAAACATAGCTTAATTTTTTTTTTTTGTATAAATCTATGTAAATACATTTATAAAATATTACATAGTTAATAATGAAGTTATATAATATGTAATATAATAAACTAATTTCATTGCATTATGCAAGTAAATAATCAGATATAATGCAGTGAAAACGGATTCCTGACCTTGTAATTTTATCTTAATAATTTTGCAACATTACAGACTGGTATACATTAACCTCAATTTTGCAATAATAATTTCCATACAGTTATAAAATATACTGCAAAATGAACATGAGTTATTTGCAGTAATATTTTACAGCTTTATTACTGCAAAATAACTCATGTTCAATGTTTATCATCATTATTATTACATAGTATAAAACAAAGTCGCGGTCGCTGTCTGTCCGTCCCTATGTATGCTTATATCTTTAAAACTACGTAACGAATTTTGAAGCGGTTTTTAATAGATAGTGATTCAAGAGGAAGGTTTATCTATATAATACATGTACACCCGTGCGAAACGGGACTAGTAGATATTATATGTTTATTAATTCTGTGCAGTTTAAATAGTTTTCTATATCTCTCTTAACATACGGTTGACAGGTGTGTAAAATGTGCTAAAGGCATCGGTGTCTCAAAAGCATTATACAAATATAACAATCACTTCATTATTCATATAATTTAACCTACTTTTTAGATTAATATAGTTAATTGGATTTTACCACGAATAGTGTGTGGTGCAATCCAGTCGAAACCTCAAGATTAAAAACATTCATTCAAATTCAAAATATGTTTATTCACGTAGGTCAATTACAGACACTAATATGTCAAATCTACCGTCAGTTCAGAATAATTTCGAGATGAGAAGAACTGACAAGAGATTGTGTTAAGACCCAATTAACTATATTAATAATGTTAATAATAATAAACGCGAAAGTTTTAAAAGAACTCGATAGATTCAGATTTAAATAGCTTTTTTTAATATAAAAGTAAATTAAAAAAAAACTCCCCAATAATTATAAATTATACAAAAAAAGCATATCATTAACTAAAAATACATCTGCGTTGCAAATATTATATATATTTTAGGTTTGTATTTGCATATTTAAACATTTAAAGCATATCATTAACTAACAATACATCTGCGTTGCAAATATTATATATATTTTAGGTTTGTATTTGCATATTTAAACATTTACCCTTAAATTCGAGATGGATCTGAAAAAATAAATAAAATAATTTTAATTTGATTCGATTTTAGAATGTTTTAATTAATAAAAACATACCTTTTACTTAAATAAATGCGTTAGTTATTCAAATAAACTTAATATTAAATATTTTTAACGTTAGGATAACATTGCTGTAAAAATAATGCGGACTTTCAGACTGATTGTATGTACTATATAGTCGTATCAAAGTTCTAATAGTACCGTATTAATAGCGTATTCAACTATTTATTGTACTTTATTGCTTTATGTGTATTTATTTTGTTGACTAACTACAAAACTAGCATTTATTACTTCATTACATAGTATAAAACAAAGTCGCTGTCGCTGTCTGTCCGTCCCTATGTATGCTTATATCTTTAAAACTACGGATTTTGAAGCAGTTTATTTAATAGATAGACTGATTCAAGAGCGAGTAGCTAGTATTCTATAATTAACAATTTTGAAGAAAGTGCCATTTATAAATGACCCTCAGATTTGCAATAATAATTTTCACACAGTTATAAAATATTACTGCAAAAATGAACATGACTTTTAAATATATATAGCGGCCGTTCAAGTATTACGTAAGCACTATGAAGGTTCGAGGGGTCTCTGTTGTCCTTATTTTGGATGACATGGGCGTGGGGCAGTCTAGATGATGATTACGTCATCGGCAATTACAGTGGACCCCCGATTATCCGTCAAACGTTTTGCAGGGCAATGTCGGACCATCGAATTTGTCGGATTATAGAGTGCTGCCTAAGGGTCCCTTATAGTCCGGAATTTTTTACAAAAGAGTATCTTGTAATCCTACAAATTACAGATCCAGTGATAAGATTCTATGTTATATATGTATGTATGTATATGCACTTTGAACAGTATATTGTCAAAAAAATATTCAATAATAAATAATAGACCATGTCGGTTTAAAAGGGGGGCCGGATAAGACAAGGGCCGGATTACCGCGGGTCCACTGTATTTACCTTTTTTACGAATGGCAACCCTCACGTTATCTTGAAAATTTTTAAAAATTGCTAAATAATGATTTAAATCTATCAATTTGCATTCTCTCGTGTTTGAAAATAGCTTCTTACCACATAGCTAATTTAAATTAGAAAACTATTTCCGTGCAAGATGAAAATAGCTTTCGTAATGTAAATTAGGGTTTATGGACTAATTGAGAAATGGCGACAGCGGACTACACTCAGGAGTCGGCCGGCGGGGACGGCGGCGGAGGCTTGGTGGCGCTGCCTTCGCGGTTGGAGACTCCGCCTGCTGCAGGGGGGCAGAGCGCCCGCAGCAATTTGCTTTGCGTGTACTGTCCGAACAGGACGCTCAGTAGCGCCACACCGTAGCCGGTTGCTCTCTCGCCCTGTAATGTGTATACAAATAGTAACAAATTGTTCGGATTATTGAAATGAAATGAAATTGAAATGAAATGAAATTGAAATGAAATGAAATTGAAATGAAATGAAATTGAAATGAAATGGATTTATTTGCGTATTATAGAGTTCGGTAATATGTCCAGGTAATAATATAATAATTATAATAATATTATTGGCAACTGTTTAATTGCCCCAATTTACGGGCATGCAAATTTTGGGTATATTAAAATGGAATAATCTATAATATTATAATTTAAAATTAATGTCTTATGTACCATTCTAATTATATAGTAATAAAAAAAAAGTCAA